GTGGCCGGCCGCATGTGCCGTCCCCTCTGCCAACTTCTGTGACTGTGTGAAAGCTCTCAGCCTCCGCAGAGATCAATAGTCTCACTTCTCATCTGCACGTCACTGTCTCTCACTCTCTGCCTGTCGCTCTCTCTTTCATTCTTCTTACCACTGCCACCACCCCTCCTTCCCTCCCTCCCTCTGTCTCTACTTATTTTGATGTCTGATGCGGCGCACTGGCTATTTGGATTACCAGAGGCGAGACAAGCTTCAGTCTGGCTGTCTAGCTCAGTGTGGTGTAAGACACATGAAACATGGAGTTGGTGTGCGTCTGTGTTTGTGACGGCGTAAATGTCACACAGCACACACATCTGACATCTAGACAGGTTTATTGAGGGAACGTTGGGTTTACATCTGTCTGTCCTTTTCTTTTTCTAATACTTTCTTTTGTTTTCTTTGTCTTTCTGTTTTGTTTTCTTACTTATTTCTATCTTTTTTTTCTTTCTTGTTTTCTTTAGTTATTTTTCTTTCTTACCCTTCATATTTTCTTGTCTTTCTTTCTTGTGAACCCCAGCCTTCATTCCAAAACCTTGAGTATTGATTATTCACTATTTACAAATCATGAATTATATGGTATTAATGTAGAGAATAACCAGCAGATTCATTAATAGTAAACCAATATTAGGACCCTGTATCAGTGAAGCGTTGCAGAACATGATATACTTCAGTTTAAGGACTACACACAAACTGGATGTACTAATAGCAGAGAATGTTGGCACCACTTTTTACCTGCCCCATCTTATCTTAAGTGATCGATGAAAAAATAGCCCTTTTTTTGTTGTTTTGACATATTTTATGTGTTTACGTTAAGGGTTCTTCTTTAGTATTTGTATATGGAAATGTAAAGAGTTAAACAGCTTCTGATAATAAAATTGAGGCCAAGTTTGGCTTTTTAAGTCCCTGAAAACGTAGTTTGAAATCTTTCTCTATAATGTAAAATATTCATGACTATATATGCAACAATTAATTACAGTTTTAAAAATAACATCCTTATGTATTATTAAGAGAACTGATGAGGACTGCATCAGGACTGCGTAGGTGTGGTTGGATCCGATTTGACTGACAGTCTTCTGGAAACATAAGCAATCATGTTTGGATTTGAAGGCATTCTAAGTAGGACTTTTCTGTTGCTGTTAGTGAACACACCATTTAAGGTGGTCTCCTCTACCCTGGCTCAACTCCTCAGCCACTGCTGTGGTCGAGAGTGACCGAGGAAAGGGAGCAACGTTACAGATAAAAAAAGCAGTGAATTGGAGAATGAAATTATCTTCAAATCATTTTCTGACTGTTTTTACAGCAGTTCATTTCTAACGCACCTCCACACAATCCTGCTGAAGGTGTGCATTGCCGGACTTTGTGTGAATTCAGCTGAAGCTATGCTGTGTTGTGTGTTTCTCAGCCCCGCCCTCGGTCAAACAGACACACACAGCTGCAGCTCTTTATACATCCATAGTCTCACATAGCCAGACCGATCTCTACACTTTGTTTCAGCGCTGTGCCCGAGCTAGAGATACATCCATGGCAGACAGCGATGTAACATTGCTCTCTGATACAGACGCTGGATGATGGACTGGATTATTTTTATATGAGTTTATACATTGTTTTTTGTAAAATCCTAATTTGTATGCCTTTTAAAGGTTTCTTAACTATGATTGGTGCACAGTTCACTTCAACAGTGAAAAACAAAAAGGAAGGAGAAACACAAACAAACAAACAAACAAACACAAATTACAAAATCATTTTCAGGTGCAATAACCAAAACTGTTGCAACCGTGGCAGAACATATTGTAATCATGTGGGATCCAATCTTTTATAGGAAGAAGTTGTTTGAGAAAATAATTTTGCAGACCTTTTAAATGTTCCGGTGAATACAATATGCCTTTCTTTCTTCTTTGTTGCACTTGACTTTTGGTTAAAATTTAGTCAGTTCATTACAACAATCAAATAGGATTCTTTTATTGATAGCAAGCCTAAATAACCATTTTCTATATTATATATATATATATATATATATATATATATATTATATATATATCTGTGTGTATATATTATGTAATATATGTATTGTAGTATATAGTATAATATAATATGTATATGTATATATATAATGTATGTTATATATATATGATATGTGTATATATATTATTGTATATGTATTATAATTTATATATGTATGGTTAAGAACATTATAATTTACAGCAATACATGTTTAACGTGTTGATTGATTGTATTCATTTAACATGTCAATCAATAACACAAGAATATATCATTAGCGTGTACCTTGTGTCAGTCTTCTCATTTGATGATGACATTGTTCATTCTTTGTTCCATCAGATCATGGACGGGGCCGAGAGAATGACCCAACCTCCGTCCCGGCCCTCCCACCCTCGATTCTGCGAGGCCATCAAGACTGACACGGCGCCTTACACCTCTCTGTTCACCAGAACATTCCAGATACAAAAAACCTCACGTGTACCGGGTCAAGAAACAAAAACGCAAGAAAAGCCAAGAGCTCGTCAGAGCCCATCGCGACTCAAGTAAGCAGAGCAGAAACCCCCATCCAGAGGCCAGAGGGGAAAGAGGATGGAGGAGAGGAAGAGATAAAAGCACTGAATCCTCGGCTGTTCCTTGGTCTCCTCTCTGCACTGTGCCCAGCTTGTGATCATGGCCTATTATTTTTTTAACACCTAGCTCTGTGAAAACTTTGGTGTTAGAGGCAGTGGCCGGTCAAGCTTGGGGCTGCATTTGTTTTAGTTAGTGGGAGTGTGGAAGCCCTATAGGAGTCCGCTTTTGGGCTGTTCTGCCTCCACCCGCCCCTCTCCCCAGCCCTCACTGGTGCAGATGAACAGACACAGGAAACAATATTAGACCTCTAAGCCAGGGTCTGGAACACCACAACGGCTACTAATAATTTAGTTCATTTGAAGTAGTCAGTGTCCTCTCACAGCGTCATTAAAAAAACCAAAATTACTATTCATTGCTACTTTTTATACTTCTCTTTTCATACAGAGCAGGCTTGGGATTCAATAGCATTTATCTTAATTTACTCTAGTCAGGATCCCATTTTAAATACAGTATATTAAACATTTGCACAGAGTTCTTCTTTGCTCAAAGAACAAATAAGGAGAGACAATAGATGAATTTTAAAAGTTAAGCAATGATCTCTAATACCCCAAATTAGGAAATATAACCTTCTGGTAAAACTCAAAGAAAATTGATGTAGATCATTTGGAAATGCCTAAATCTTGATTATTTATATGAGCAAAAACTATTTCTTACTTTGGACTCAACGGTTCCATCTCGAGGTGCCGTTATTCCAATCATCAGTGGAAGACCTCAGGTTGTAACATCTGTCTGTCTCTCTCCTGTGTCTCTCTCTCTCTCTCTTCTCTCTCTCTCTCCTCTCTCTTCTCTCTCACTCTTCTCACTTCTCTCTCTCAACCCCTCTTTTTACAGCTTTCAAACCTATTGCACGACAACATCAGAGATGAAGACCGTGTGTTTGGTTGAAAGCTCCAGAAAAAATCAAACAGTTGAACTGGTTGGGATTAGTTTTTCCATAGCCACTTCATGCTTATTTCCATACTAGTATTTTCTGATTTGTTTGGGTCTTTTTAAAAAGCACATTTTTTGACTAAAACCTTTGACTGTGGTAATGTCCTGTGTACCTGAGCTATATCTTTCAGCTGCTGGGCTTTATGGAGCCGTGTCAGCTTGTGGTGTCTTGGGGGAACAATTAAAAAGCCACACTGAATAAGTTTGACCGTTGGCTTGACTCGGACTCAGTTTCAGTTTTTGTCTCGGACATTTGGCTCCATGGTGTGATAGCTGTTTATCAATTTCCCCACCCGAAAAGAAAAGAAAAATAATGTTGTTTAGTTTCATTCCCCCGGGTGTTTTGCTGTAAAACGGGAGTCAAAGCTGGTACCAAAGTGATATTTTGTGACACTGTTGTTGTTGTGATTGTTACCTCTGTGATTGTCATCATCAGCAGCCTCAACCTTTTCACTCTCCTCTCTCTCTCACTCTCTCTCTACACACACACACACACACACACAGAGAGCCCACAAACACCACATGAATAAATGTTAAGTGGCGATGGAATATTGCAGCAGGCTGGACAACGATGCTGATTCCCTTGCCGCAATCCAAAATAGTTTGTGGAGAAGAGAGATTAGGGAGAGAGAGGGAGAGAGAGGGCCCAACACTTGCATATCAAACCAAGGCTTTGTGGTAGAAAAGAAAGTGGTTGAGAGCAGGAGGAGTGGGGAGGACAGAAAGGCTCATGTTTAAACAGTTAGCAGAGGAGAGATGAGAGCGCATCAAAACACGGATTCACAATGATCTAAACCCCTTCCTCATTTTCTTTTTCTTCTTACGAACCAAAGGGAGAGCGGAGGAGGGTGAGGAGGAGGGGAGGTGATTGAAAGGCTGGAGCTGCGTCTGTAATTATGGGTTGGCCAGCCAGAGCTTCCTGCCACAGTGAGCCGCTCTGTGCGCCATCATGACACACACAGTATACACACACACACAATTCCCCCCCCCCCCCCCCCCCCACCCCCCCCCCCATCTCAGCCTGCCTATATTTGTACACTTGTTAATGAGGACCTGTGTCTTTGATAATCCACACACTCGCAGATGCACACGGTTGTTGTGGGCCTTTGGAAAACATGTTGTTTGTTAACCGCGCAGCCTCATTGCGTAATGCATACCAATCGGATCAGTGCGAAACATCACCACTTGCAACCACCCCCCCTCCCACCTTCATATTGGATGTTTAATTTAGGAGATGTCTGATTGCTTTATTTGAGAGCCAAGTGATTCCATTATGTTGGCCTAATAAGAGTGTACTAATGTAATATTTTTTTCAGCATCCTTAATTTCCATACATAGTGGGATTAGTAGTTCATTCCAAGGCGCACTGTCTGCCTATAGTTTACTTAATGAAAGGGAGAGGAGATGAAAAAGGCCATTAACTTAACAGCTCAACGCTCCATTTAGGCTTGTTTTTAAAGAAAAAGAGTCGATGTTGCTGAACAAATGCAGCAATTTCAGTTTGATTGATTTAGTTTGAGAGGGATATCCTTTGCCATAAATCAGACCAAAGGCCAAATCCAGTCAAATCTGCATCTGTATTCTTCAATAGAACAGTTTCCTTCTACAGAAATGAAAAACTGTTGTTTTCAGTCTTTGTATATTGCTTTATACACTATATGGCCAAAAATATATCAACACCCTCTCATTACACTCATATCATTCAAACCATATTTGCTCATTTGCTGTGGAACTGTAGACGTCTTTCTGTGATTCTGAGCACCTGTATGACTCCATGTTGGCTTCGTAATGTTTTGACTTAAATGTTGGTTTTTTGTCCTCCTCCTGTCATAGGATTTTAGTTTTGAATATTTCTTTATTTGCATCTTGTACCATGGTTTTAACAACGTATTTAATGCTCCTGTAAACAGTTGTTGCATTTTTTCTGCTGGAGTAAACAAAGCTGAACAGTTTGAAAGTAGTTGCCTTGTTGTTAGTTTAAAAAGAAAAGTTATAATTTACCCAATAAGGTCTTGGGACAGAATGGACCTGCCATGCTTAATTACACCCTGAAGTTGAACTCCACTCTTATCTGGATGCTTTTGGAACCTGGCTGCAGGGATTTGATCCAGTTCAGCCATAGGAGCAGTAGTGAGGTCGGACACTGATACTAAGTGATGAGGATCTGAAAGCTAATAATAAGGGGAAAGTGGGAGAGTATCCTCGGTAATGCTTGACAGGCAGAGTTGCAGTTGGATATTTGCTCTTCATCTGCTAAAAGTGGAGTCTCTGTGCTCACTGAAAAACTGATTTGAAGGGGCAGGGGAGCATGATTTGTGACATCACAAATAGTTTGGTAGTATGTAATATTATGTGTGTAATAGTTAACTTGTACAGTGTGATTAGAAACTTGAAGCCACCAGTGCACACCACTGAGAATGGACTTGCAGGAAGTAGGAGACATCTTGTGTCCAGCAGGAAAACTTTAGAATGAATTCATTTGTATTTCAGAGTTCTGAAGTTTTAATGAAGGTAGGAGGAGGAGATGGATTTTTCAAGGATTTTAATGTGAAAATGTTTCTTTTTTTGCAGAAAAAAAGGAGGTCAAATCAGTGTTTAGGCGCATGTTGGTGCTGTAGCTTGAGATTGTTAATTTCACTGTAAGACATTTTGTATTAATGATGAACTGCAGTTCTGATGCATGTGCCAGTCTTAGACAAACCATTTGATGTTCTCTGGAAGCATCTCAACAGATGATCCAACTGGACCAGTGCCATATAAATACATTGAAACTATTTATGAATGTGAAATTTCCATGTGGAGTATAAGGGTCTGAATAGAATGTGATGATGGAACACTATATACTGTGCACACATTGGTACTTCAGAGGTGACTGACAGGCTTTTATATAAAGGAAGTTCCTGGTACATTTTGATTGGCCAACATGTTGGTTACTTTTTAGTGCACAGTGAGTTAAATGCTGGGAACTGATGCACCTTCAAGGCTACGTAATTGCTGTGACCCCGAACATCGTCATCTTCACAAGTACCAATTCATGTAGTTTCATTTGACTAACAAGGACAGCTGTCAGAGAAAGCCACCTTTTTGTGTTCATTTGAAAGAGGAATATTGTGTTATGTGTGAGTGCCTTTGGTAATTTTCTCCATTTTGTTCTTTTTTCCAAGAATCTAACATGTGCAGCTGGGTTTTCTACTGGAGGACATGTTTCATATCAAAAATCATTCAAACTAGTAAATGTTTATTCTGTAATAATAGTTTTCATGGTACATTATTGGTGGAAGAGACTGAGTGGAGCTTGACATATTTTCCAGTGTTCGATATGACACATCATGTTCAATGGCAGTATGATCAATAAAAGTTTTTTTTCCAACAATGTAAATTCTTTGTTTGTCATTATGTGAGGCCAGAACCTTAGTTTCTTTTAATTCTTCACTTTCTTTCAGATGCAGTCACGATTCAGCAGTCACTGGTGCAAATAAATGAATTTTATTGAGAAAAAAAGATCAAAGCAAATACAAAACACTTACATAACTGTCCAAAGCTCATCACCATCATGATGATAAAAAAGATATGTTTGGTTTGACTTTTTTTTTTCTCAGAAGCTGCACATTTTTAAACCTATAGTGCTTTTCTTGACAAAAAGCAATAACTGTAATTAATCTATCTCTGTATTTACAAATGAGGTAAAAACATTAACTTTGTTCACAACATGTCTGCACCCAGAACACAACATTTAAGAAGCTGTTATATGGTACAAATGAATGGTGGTGGGAAGTGAGTCACTGCTCCTTAACAGCTGCAGAAAGAGAACAGAAGTGTCTTCATTCTCCACTCTGCGTGGCTCAGGCTCGGCCCCTCTAAAGAGAAGTAAATAACAAGCATCTCCTCTCTAGGAAATCCCTACTCTATAAAAACAGGGAAGAAAGGCCTGTGTGTCTTACTTTTCAGGCATCATCCCACCGCATACTGCACCCTCACCTGACCGCCAAGTCTCTTATTTTTAAAGCCACATTGTTACCTCTGCTTTCATGTTTCTGGAAAGCTGCAATCTGGGAATTGACTCCTCTGTCTCTTTTTTTTTTTTTTTTTTGAAAGTACCCGCAATCCTTTGGTTTTTTCCAGCATGACAGCAAGCCATCAGTTCCTATTAGGATTAGTGGCCTGACGTGTTTTCAAACACTCCTACCCTTTAACTGCTCTCTGCTGTCAGGCTCGGCTCTGCCAGCGTAAAGACGAATAAAAAGAGCGCTGCTGCTTCTTGCAGCAGAATACGGCAGCTGAAGTGTCAGCCAGGGTTGGCTTTTTGGGAGAACTGTGGGGAGAGGGAGGAGGTGTGGACACATGACTTTTGTATTTATGCCATTTGCTGTGCAACAAACCGTTTCTGCAGAAAACCATTACTCCCAGCATCCCCCCCATCTCTACAGCTCCCTGCTGAGCTCCATGGTGCACTGGTGGCACATTTCACCACCAAGCACTTGATAAGATGGTTCCTCTCTGCCTCCCTTCCTCATTTGCTCTCTGATTCAACCCTCTAACCTGTAATCATCGCTCTTATCAAAGGTGAAAAGAACAGGTTCTTTTCAGACTCTCTTCTTCCCCTTCACTGCCTCTTATTGTTCTTTGCCTTTTTGTTCTTTTGAGACAAATTGTCCTCACTGGTTCCACAACAGCAGGGAATCTTTTTTATATATGAGGGGGAAAGAATCTCTCCAAAATGAGCCGTCAATCCGAGTGTGACTAAAGCCAAATAATCGGAATGTTTGCCACTGTGCTGACTATTCACAGCTAGGATAATAACTGCAGTTATTTCTTTGCAATTTTCTATCAGTCCCCACAATCACAATTATCACACTGAAATTTAGCGAGGGCCAACAGATAAATGTGTGTGGATTGCACAGCTCAGGCCTATATATGAATAGTCATTATAAATCTCCTTCATCCTCCCCCTCTTTGTGTTTGTATTTATTGAGTAGTCACCTTGGAAAGGCGTTTGACATAGTTTGTATTCTACCGAGCAATTGTCTGTTAAAGTAGTCTCTCGCAGACGCCACATTTGGTATGCCTGAGGAAGAGCGTACGCAGAACAGAGCAACAGAGCAAGTATTTCCTCCCTCCCGCAGTCCGCACGTCTGCTCCCATTTCTTCATTACAAAGCTGTTTGAATTTTCGTGCAACCTTCCCCCGAGTGAGGAGGAGCGAGCGGCAGAGGAGTGCGAATGAGAATAGGAAATCACACGAAGACGAGGGCGCAGTAGTAAGTAGAAAGCTTGATGTCTTACAACCCACGGACCGTTGAAACTTGAAACACCCAACCAATACAGAATTACTCAACCCAGCGAAAGACACATTACCAGAAAAAAGAAAAGAAAAAAAATCTCACCCTGCAACCCAGTGATGGTCGAAGCACTTTTTTTCTCATACAAACATTGACAGAAGCTGTGTACAGCCAGGCAGCGAGAACACAATGTGTCCACTATATACTGAAAATCCAAACTCTGTATTGTATGGGCTACTCAGTATGATCCCACTCTTCTTCACTGTCTTTTCATGGAACGGTGCAATGTGGGATAGTCCTTCTTTATTTACAAAGATTTCATTCAGCAGCAGTGTCTTTAAAAATATGTTTTGTGTGGCATTGATTTGCACAGGTATATAAAAAAAAAAACATTGCCAAAAGATTTTCACGTCACATTTTAGGCCTTCAGCTGACACTCATCCAGAGCTGCTCACGATGAGTGTTAGAAAATAGAGGAAATTTGGGGTTTTAGTGGCTGTGACTGGAACACATTTTTCCGACAGTGAAGCTAAGCTCCATCATGATGAGTAGCCCAGGTAGAGGGTGACGTTCTGAAGCCTTTAACCTGACTGGCAGGTTTGATAACGTCTGCCCCTGCGAAATTGTCATCCAAGGTAGAGGCAGCGCAGAGCAACAGGCTCTTTTCACAGGGGCACTTTGATGTGTGTGTTAGGCCACCGTGTTGATTGACAGGGCTCATCATCCAGTAAATACAACACCTTCTGTGTCAGTGAGTAAGGGGTGCCGAGCGAGTCTCTCTGTCAGTCAGTCTCTCGCTGTTCTCCCACCTCGGTTGCCGCTAAGCGTCCGCTAATTGATTGTTTCCGGACGGCCCGCTATCAGGGTCCTATCATCAGTCTGGTCTGTGTGTGTCTGAGCTCAAAGGTCGCTGGCCTCGGCTCGCTCGTACAGTGCCCGCAGCTTCTCAAAGCGGGGCCCCCACTCCCCGAGCGTCTCCTCTCTCCTTCCCTCCCCTGCCCCGTCTCCGCTGCTCCCTCCGTCCAGCCCCGCTGAGCTGAAGGAGCTCAGAGAGCCGGCCGGCGAGCCCCCTCCCTCTGTGGAGAAGACCTGCAGGGAGTCGAAAGGCCCCGTGTCCGGATGCTGGTCGGCATCGCGTATGATCTCACACAGGTAGCGGGCCAGGTCCTGGCTGGAGAAAGAGAGGGAGCGGCGGGCCAGCTGGGAGGGGCGGGTTTGGCCCTGGGCCGGAAGTCTGGTGGGGGGGACGTCCCTCTTGTTGACGGAGGCTGGTGGTGTGGTTGGCAGTTAGAGGAGTTTGTTGTATTGCTTGACTTCGTATGTGAGTCATGGGTGTTGTTTGGGTTCTTTTTTAGCGCTGGGTTTCACGGCTTTTGGGTCTCAGTAGGTGTGTGTTGCTGGTGTGCCGAGTGCGAGGCTCGGGCACGCGCCTGGTGGACTGGCACGGAGGTGAGATGTTGTAGGATTGGGTAAGAGTGGAGAAAGGTGAAGGAGGAGGGTGCAGGGCTTCTTGGAGCGGCAGTTACTTGCAAGGACAGCGTTTCATGAGCTGGGGACTGTGTTCTTGAATATCTACATCCTCAGATAGTATTGTATGGAGAAAATTAAGGCCGGGCTTGCCGACTTCATTGGTGTGTAGAGGAGCAGGGATGAGGATAAATGATGAACCGAGCTCAGGTGGGTGATTGAAGAGGGCGAGAAAAACAAGATGAAGTAGGTGATGGTGATGTGAGATGATGTAAGTATAAGATGGTGCTTGCTGGGAAGAAGATAGGACCAAACAGAAGGTGCTTGTGGAGTGAGGCTTCCTGTCGGCAGACCAGGGAAGTGTTCTTGCCCGCAGTGTATTAGATCTAGCGCTGGGTCACAATTCCTCGAGACTGCGGGGCGCGCGCCAAACATGCTGAAGCGACCATGCTGTCAGCGCTTCGGTAAGAGATGCGGACGTGATCTTCCTGTCCAGGCCCAGAAGGTAAAAAATCAGACCCCATACAGAAGAGCATGATGCAATTAAATGAAGGGCAATGTATATGGATAGTGTACGCATTTTTATATGAGTCGAAGTAGCATAG